TACTTTTTCCCTAAAAAAGTAACGAAAGTACAAGTAAAAGTACTAAATTTAAAAAGTAACGAAGTACAAGTAAAAGTACGTACTTTTTACTTGTACCGGCGGTACAAGTAACGAAAGTAAAAGTACTGCCATATATGCTGACAATAAATCATTTGACAGGGAACAAAATTAAAAAAAAAAAAAATGAAATAAATAAAAATAAAATTGTTTGTTGCCTTTTTCGGCATTACCACACAGTAAATGAGAAATGAGTGAAAAAGTGATACATACTCCTAGATTTGGGTCCTAGGTCTTAAATTAAGGACAAAAAAATAAGGGAAATATGATTAATTATTCACACCTAAAAGAACATATTTTATGCGTGGAAATTGGTATTAAATACCATACGAATTTTCAGATTAAAAAGCTGCATTCACATCTTTGTAAATTTCTATTCGAAGTGCTGAATAAATTTATCCATCCTATTTTTTTCACATGAAAACTTAATTCACTTTTTTTATGAAATGTTACACTTTTGGGTTGTGTATTTTCAAATTAATTGAATGATATTCTTATCTCATCTGTTGGGTATTGATTTTGTTTAAGTTTAACAGTTAAATGAATTTACATCATTTATCAAAAATGATTCTTCAGAACTAGTGTGTAATCTTTATTGCTTTTTCAGTTTAAAATGCACTATTACTTAAAAGCTATCATATAAACGAACTACTTTATTAATAACTATTCGGCGAGTATCTTAATTTCTATAAAAATAATGTGCACTGAAAATTTTAATTATTGCAAAAATACATTAAAATTATTAAATAAATAAATAAACATATATATTTATGAACAATTGGGAAATTCATTATTTTTTATTGCTCAAAAATAATAAAATGAGGTAAGAAACATTTCTTTATAATATTAAATATTTGACATTTGAGAATATTTTGCCTGAGACTATAGACAAAATAAAAAAGTGTAGCTGACATGGTTGGAGAGACAGAGATTTGGTTTCTTACTTTTTATCTTTACTACTACCCAGTCCCTGAAAAACATAGAACTCTTCATTCCTATCCAACTAGTAATCTTATTATCGAATAATCAGTATTTTCCCCTCAACACTTTTCAAAATGTCTGTTATTTATTATTGTCAATACTGATGTTTTCAGAGAAATCAAGTGAATTTCTCTCTCTCATTACTTGGAAGGTCACTTCAAATCAATTAGTTATATTTGAGTGTAGTTTTGTATGCATAAGTATAATATTTCACAAATAACAAATAAAGTTTCAAGCATTACTTGAATAAATGTTTGTTAACCATCTCCCCCCCCCCCAGTTNCCCCCCCCCCCCAGTTAACAGTACAATACTTCTGTTGTTCAATTTTATCTCAGTGTAAATGGATAATTCATTAGGTAATTTCAGAGTGTTAATAAATTATTTAAATAAATTATAAAAATGTGAAAGTTAAAAAAAATTTTTTTTTGCCACATTAAAATTTCGATAATAACAGTTTTCATTTAAAAGAGATTTAACTTTTAAATGAAATTAAATATTATTTGAGCCAATGAGATTTTAATAAGTTATGTGGGCCTTGTATCAGATTTTTCTCAGTGCTATGTTAGAAATCTGTGTGGTTGGAGCCAACCATCAAAGATAATTTTTTATAGGATCAGAAAAGGTTTGGTTGATGTGTGGTAAGCAAAGTTTGGATAAAATTTATATCTTCTCAAGTAAGTGAGTCAGTTAAAATGTTCTTGAACTGCTTGATTGAAAACTGCAAATGATAATTAATAAACAATATTTTTTAAGTACAAATTCCTTAATAATTTAGAGAAGATAAACTGTAACTCTAAATTTGTAAAACAGTACAGAACCCATTATCCGGAAATCAGAAAACTGGAAAACCAAGAAACCGGAACGAAATTAGATGAATTTTCCCGCCATTTAAAAAAAAAAAAATTTTTTTTTCCTCATAAGATTTTAGGATTTTTCTTTCTGTTTTGAAAGATTTTTACCTTACCATCATTTTGGAAATAATCATTAGTGTATTACTTAATCGTTTTTTTTTTCTTTTTAAGATTATTTCTAAAATTTTTGATTTTAGTTGGGTTTAACAATAAAAAAACGGCTTTTTGTAGCGATTCAGAAAACTGGAAAAATCAGTTATCGGAATAGCGATGGTCCCGATCGTTCCGGATAATCGGTTCCCTACTGTAATATATTAATTTAGCATAATCATAAAACTTACCTATTCTACCAAGTCCATAAATTCCTACAGTACTTCCAGTTAATGAAGTTCCACACATCCACAGAGGAGCCCAACTGCATTTAGCCCAACCACCACTAAGAACGATAATAATGTATCTCAATAAAAATCTTATTAGTAAAAAATTAAACATCTTGATATAAACTTGAAAACTCCAAAAATTAACGATAAATAATAACAATGTTCATCATATAATTTATTTAAAAAATTAACTTACGTCTTCATAAGGAATACTAATGATTCCTTCTTCATAAAAGTAATATTGCAAATTTATGTGAAAAGCAAATTTAATGAAAGAACTTACAATTAGGATAAGATATTAGCCATAAGTGTTTAAACAACCTTTCCAAGAAAACTTAAAACTATTGAATAAAAAAAATAATGGTTAAGATTTTTTTAAAAATAGGAACAGTGGCAGCTTTAATAACTATTTATCGTTTAAAAATGAATATATTTAAAAAGATCAAACACTAGTCTATGCTCCATTTACATGATACTTAAGGACTATCATTGAATCTGATAGAAAAATTAAGTTGTTGAATAACATGTAAGTGAAATACAAATTTTAAAATATTATCATTACTGATTTAAAAAAGGAAAATGTAGTATATACGATTAAATATCCTCAGTTTCAGTATGCTCAAATAACTATTTTTATTTCACAGTTTTAACTGCATTTCATCAGTTGCACACATCTTCCTAGGGATTTTATATTCTGAAATAGCCATTAATGAACTTAAGTAAATTTGTAATAAGAAATAACCAACTCCTTTTCTTTTCTACAATTGCTTAATTATTACCACACATTTTTCAGGAGTAATATTCTGACTATTATTTAGAAAATTTTTAAAGATGTGAGTGATCTTAGCAAACCACTTCATGCTCCATGTTTTAAAGCAATGTTAAGCAAATTAAATTAGACATAAATAAAAAGTAAAAGTAAAATTAAATACCTTATTCAAAGATTATAATATAATTATATGATACAGTTTTAAAGCTTAAACAAAACTAATGTAACAATGATGTTTTATTCTTGGTTGATGATTTTTTCTTGGTAATAATGTAACTTTCTGTTAAAAAAAATAATAAATAAAAAACAAGTAGGTTTCTTTAATTTTTGAGTAATTCCTTTACCCAAAAATTAAAACCAATAAATAAATAAAAAGAAACATTAAATAAAATGATCCATTAAAAAACTCATTAGTAATAAAGTCAAAACCCATTAATTTTTTACATGTTATAGGAACTAATTAATGAACGAAGCCATTATAATCAAGAAACAAGTTAGATTATAATTTAGGTTATTAATTTAGATTATTGCTTTCAAACAATGATGAAAATTTTTAATATTTAAATAAAAGTGAGTCACTAACTATTAATAGTTTATAACTACAAACTGTTTGAATCTAGATTTTGCATATTTTACACACACACACACAAAAAAACTTTTCATTTCTTTATCTGGTTAACTTCAGGTACTTGTTAAGTCTTAATATTTTCTTCTTTATCTCCAAACCCAAAATAGTCACTCTTAATTACTCGAAGTTTAGCCTTACAACTTTTTTGAAACAAGATAGAACTTTTTTTAAAGTAAAAGTCATATGTTCAGATAAAAGCTTCTGCAACTTTGGTAGCATTATACATTGTAATATCCTTAGTATCGGAATTTGGTTATGTATTACCAACCAAACAGAAATTTCAGCGCCGAGATAGTCAAAAATTTCCTAATTACCAAAAAAAAAAAAAAAAAAAAAGATTNAAAAAAAAAAAAAAAAAAAAAAAAAACTGTAATTATGAATAAGCATATTCAATTATTTTATTCTTGTGAATTAAGTAAAATAAAAATAAAAAATCATCAGGGTCAAATAAGTAAATAACAAATGATAAAAAAATGTGAGTTTTCCGAAGTTTTACTATTAATGTCCAACATAAAAGAACAGAAATTTGATCATGAACAATTTATTATTTAAATTAATTCTGAAAAAAGTTTCAATGCATAAAAATTGTTAACATTAAACAATTACTTGACAACTTGTTTGGTTGCTTCCATAAGTCTTCTGGCAGTAGCTAGAACCAGTGCAACAGTCAATTCTGCAGCAGCATCAGTAAGAACATTTGGAGTGTTTCCAACATGCACGCCCCTTAGAATTTAAAACAGTTTAATTTAATGAAACTATTTCAAAAGTTAAGCATTTTAGTAAACTAGTAAGAAAGATTAAGAATACATAAAATCATAGACATCATTAAAAATATGAGAGATATATAAAATAAAAATTTAAATTAGTGGTTTTTAACTTTCGAAGCTTATCATACAAACTTGAACAAATTCGTATTAAATTTTTTTAGTTTCAAAAATTTATATGCTTTTAAATCTTTTGCATTTAACTATAACTCAATGAATTGAAATGTCTCGGTAGCAAATCTCTCATTTTTTAATTTTGCTGTTTAGTTTATTCAAAATTTTAGCATGTCCACAAACACTTAGAATAAAAATTCCTAGTTTTTCCACACTGACTTTATCTAATTTTTTTTACTTTTTCTTTACCAGGGTCAAGAATTTTATTATTAATTTTTCATTTATGCTTATTCTAATGCATAAAATACATTACAAAACACTTATACTTCCTATTAGAGTTAAGAATAAATAATTAAAAAATATTACAAGACCAATTTTCTGTTTGTTTTTTTTAAAATAGTTATTTTTATAAAATCTATATTTAACAATAAATGTAAAATAAGTTTTACACTTTTAAAATACAAATCAAGAAAGCTGATTGAAATAAAAAGTTACAATTATCATGGGATTAAATACAATTTAAAATGTCATATAGTATATAATAAAAGCTTTCACAATGCCCACTAACTTTTATTTTATTATTAAGAAACACACATAAATGAATATTAAAACACTCTCAAAATGAGAACACATCATTGAAATACTATTAAAATCCTATGAAAAACCTTCAAAAGTATTGTAGGATATGACACAGAAATATGAATAGGGAAAATTATCAATAAATTTAATAGATGAATGTATAATTATTGTAATGCATGATATAAAAGTATGCTTAATTTACAATTAAAATATTCAAACAAAACTAATTTAGTTGGAATATTCAGTTTGATTTCAATGAATACCATAAATAAATTTTACCTTTTATGGCACTCTGAAAGATCAATATGATCAAATCCAACAGATAATGTTCCAACAACTTTTAAGTCTGGTCCTGTAAACAAAATATTATAAATGTTACTATATTTCTTTTATCTCAAAATGAAATACTAATGGTATAAACAAAAAGTTCACATCTGGCTCAAGAAAATATTTCTTAAATAATGGAATTGTTTTTAATACATTTATGCATCATGTAGAATGATACTGGTAGGATAGCAGGGTCACATGATATTGACCTCCACCTAGGTAAATTCTTATATATATACAGGAGTAAAAATTAAGTCAGAGTCTAAAGCAGCAGTAACCCGAAATTTTTTTGATTATGGAATCCTAAAAGGTCGAGCTCCTTTTGGCAGAACCCGGACTTTAAACAACAAAGAAGCTCATTAGCAGCTGAGAATATGCCACAAAAGAGAATATATTTTAGAAAAATTTATTGTGAAGAAATAAATTTATTAATTATTTTATCAACAACAGTCTTAAAATTAGGTTTTATTTTAGGAAGTTTAATTCTAGATCTTACCTAGTAGTTTTTGGCGTATGCATAAATTTTATTAAGTAAAATAAGCTGAATTGTGGTTTAAAAAAAAAACTTTTTTGAACTGTTAGAATATTTGCCAGAGAAAAATAAATTTTTATTATTGAATTTGAGTAATTTATTTTGAGTTTAAAAATTTGATGAGAAATACTTATGTATGAATAGGACAAAAAATAACTATGGAATTTTTCTTTTTTAAATTTTGTTATTTCTTATTTAATTAAATAATTCCATAAAACTAAATAAATTATTAAATAAACAATAAAATAATGGTTGGTCCATAAATAATTTTAAAAAAAATTGCTGGTTAAAAAAGAATTCAAACTCATGGAATCCCCGTGACCTTTCCACCAAACCTTGGGATTTTGCAGAGCAACTTATGGGAGCTGCTGGTCTAAAGGATTAGTAGCTAAAACATATTACAAGACCATTCAAATTTTCAGTGCTTCGTTTAAATGTTTCTATTATATATATATTTTTAAAATAAAGTTAATAATGTGAATTTATATAAATTACATAACAGTATGTACAGAAAAATTATGCCACATTTATGACAAAAACATAGATCAAAACAAGAAATCAGAACCAGTCACAAATGCACCTGAGGACAGCTAATATTTATTTTATGATGGCCTGAGTGAAATTTTAGTGGTTAATTAACCACTATNAACCTTGGGATTTTGCAGACCAACTTATGGGAGCTGCTGGTCTGAAGGATTAGTAGCTAAAACATATTACAAGACCATTCAAATTTTCACTGCTTCTTTTTAATGTTTCTATTATATATATATATATATTTCAAATAAAGTTAATAATGTGAATTTATAAAAATTACAATACAGTATGTACAGAAAAATTATGCCACATTTATGACAAAAACATAGATCAAAACAAGAAATCAGAACCAGTCACAAATGCACCTGAGGACAGCTAATATTTATTTTATGATGGCCTGAGTGAAATTTTAGTGGTTAATTAACCACTATTATGTAACATTAATTTTGAGTCTTGTACATATATGTATTAGGAGATTAGTGAAAGAACCATGTTTAGTGATATCTTTTAAAAAATTGAGATTTTTTGAGGTAAGTTCTCATTTCAATATATTCTTGTTTCTATGCTGTCCTAATTATGTGCTTTTTTAAAAAAAATACTTAATAGGCAGAAACAATAAGAATTTTTCTTGAAGATGTCAAAATCATGGGAAAAACAAGTATATATTTAGAAAACAATTAAAACCAAGGAAAAAGTCTTTTTTATAGATGGTAAAAAAACTCGCATGGTAAACACCATGCCTAACTTGTGTGTGCGTGTTTGTGACATCTATTTATGAAAGAAAAAATATTATTTTTGTGTGATTTTAAATGAGCATTTTTTTTGGCCAATTTCTAGAATTATTAAAAAGTTAAGGCTACGAATTTAGAAAAACTAAATAAGTTCATTCCAATTATTTAAAACAATAATCTCATTATTCCAACTCACAATCATGGATATATTTCTATTAAAACTAATAAAATTTTTAACAATGTAATATGTTGCTAAATGTGGCTTTATTCTGAAATATTGATCCCAACAGATCGAGCAGCCCAATAGGCAGAATTATTTACTTAACATTTTCACATGGTAAAGGTTATAATAAATATTTATAAAATGTATACCTTCCCTTAAAATGTTGCCAAATGTATATGTGTGGTTATAACTATTGTCTAGTAAATTTTACAGTAATTAAAAATATAAATAAATTTTTATAATGCTACAGTTAAAAAAATATTATCAGGAAATAAATTAATGTACACATTATTTCTTACCAGCAGCATCCAAAAATTCTTTATCTATTTTATCAGTTAGCATACACAAAATAGCATTCTTCCCTTTTATACGTGATAGCAATTCTTCTCTAGGCATTGGAGATGCTACTGGATATATGTCCATATCATATCTATAAATAGTTGAAAAACATTTTAAGCTTAATGTTCTGTTTAAGGAAACAACAAAAATAAATTAAAAGAAAAATATCATACTCCTTTATGAATGCTTATTACTGATACATAATGTACATAAAATATCACATAAATTTTTTCATCTAACTATAAGTATGTCTGAGGTATTATGTGTAATAGATTAATAAATTTTTCTAAACGCATGAAATACAAGCAATAGCAAATCTCATGCTAAATGCTGTTTCAGTAGCAACCTTAAAACATATTGATAATAACAATCTTAAAACATATATGTAATATTATTTATTATAGTAAAAAAATAAATAAAGGAAAAGATAGTAAAACAGAGAATGTTGATCAAGGATTTTTTATAAAAACATTATTTTTATAATAAATAATATTTTATAAATTTTCCCTTAATAAAACTTTTATCAATATAAAAAGTCTTCTTTTTTAGAAATTCTCCAATTTTTAGTAAAAATCTGAAGGGAAGTATAATTTTAGAGATAAAAGGTGATAACAAAAATTCTGAAGCCTTTTGAAACAATAAGGAAAGTTGAGTCTTCTGTGCCAACCATAAGGAAAAAGTATGGAAGGTAGATTATTGTATATAATATTCTATAATCTCCTATGCCAGGTTATTTATAAATAATAAAAGAAATAAATTTTTAAAAGGAGGCACACAGCTTAATAATTGCATACAGAATAATAAGCAGTATCATATAACTGCATTCCTTTTTCTCGTAAATCCAAAATAAAAATAGTTTCAAAATTAAAGAGGTCTTTTGAAAAAAAATTCTTTTTTTCTGATTTGAGAATAAACTTTAATAATTTTTTTTAAACAAAAATGAACCCACTTTTCTTTTAAAAGTTTAATACCAGGCTCTGGAATATCAGATCGAGTCACTAGAACTTTTTGACGAGATGTGCTATTTTTTGAGCTTGCCATATTACACAAAGGTAGAGTGTTTTCAATTAATGCTCTCCTATAAGATATAAAAGACATTCAATTTACACTAATATGTATACACAATATTATTTTAAAAAATTATAAAGAAAAACATATTTTATTTAAACATCATAAAACTAATAATTTAAGAATGGAAAAATTTATAGTAATTTTAGTAAACCCTGAATGTTCTCGCTAGGTTAACTGAAGGATTGACAAAATGTGAATCACATGATTTAAGTCATGATTAAAATTACAATTTAAATCACTTGAATCTTTTGAAAAATAGTTGATTTAGAGCAATTTATTGCTTTTTCGATCTAAATCACTAAGTCAAAAATATTTTTATCAATATATTCTTCATAAAGTCTGATTTCAATGATCTAATGAATATATCTAATGAAATGATAAATGATTATAGTTCAAATTAGACAAATAAATAAAATTAGAGATTTAATGTGGATAAGAGCAACGTTAAACTGTTAAATTATAATTTTCTATTAGCAGTAGGTATGAAAATAAATATGTTCATGATAAACATATTTTAATTATATCCACTTGGTTTTATGCTTATTTAAATCCTTTAAGTGTTTTTAAAACATATTAAATGCAAAGTTAGTGTTTATCAATATTGAAGAAGAACATGTTCTGCCTAAAGAAATTTTTTTCTTAAAAGTATTCTGATCTAAATTATTTTAAGCTTTACTCGATATCTAACTGACAGATTTCCTGTCTTTATAATTTTAGGACATTTAACTTGAACAAAAATAACCATGATTTTATTTATTCAATGGTTAGCTTGTAATAATTAACATGGCTTTTTGCCGTAATGAATAAAGCTCTTTTGCCAAAGAAAATAAAAACACCACATTGAAAGTGCATTACACTTAAAGGAAATGTATAATTTTAAACTATATATCATCTTGCAGTGAAGAATTATCTGGGCTATAGAATGGGTAAATAACTTATAGATTTTAAAAATTATTGAATAATTATAAAAATATTAATTTGGCAATATTTTTAAACATATAGATGAAAAATATCAAGATCACTGACTTATTCTCAGTTTTTGCAAATTTTTATGAGTCCAGGTAATGTAGTATCAGAGAAGTTTAAAAATATTGGAAAATTAGATCACAAATGCTTTTTCTCTTTACGAAACTGTGGCTTTTCTCAATGTTGATGTTTCCAACCTTTTTCAGAATAAGCATAGAGAGGGCTAGCTATAGATGGGCTAAACTTGATTTTACAGTCAAGAGTTAATGTTGCAAATTCACAACAGTTAAGAAAATTGCATATAACTCACAAAAAAGCCTAATTTCAAATGACGATGGAGTCTTTGATAAAAACAGCCATACATAATAATTTTTGAAAAATTTTAGTCAGAAATATCTAATATTGTTTTTAACAAATATTAAGTACTATTAATCTATTTTATCAGATAATTTGGAGGGTAAATAAAAAATAAAGTCTTATTTAAATTAATAAAAAATGTGATATAAATCAAATTAATCCCCTTTTTTTTATCTTTGTAAAAAAAATCATGAGATTTATCACCCTAGGTAAACTGTATATTGTGCTAAAAGGGATAGTTCCACGTCAGTATCTGTTTCAGTGTTGCCAGACGACAATGTATAAAAGTAGCAAATTCGAACATTTTGTACAAATTACAAATGTTCGTTCATTTGGGCAACATGCAGATTTTTTTTCTTCCTTTTCTTTAAAAATCAATTAGCGCTTCGACGCAACAGATAATGATACAGAAATATCCCAATTTTCTTAAACGAATTTCCATGATCAGGGGTCAAGCCAAATTTACTGCCGTTTAGTGGTACCTTCACAAATTATGTCTAAATTTTCACAAAATAGGTACCTCTAAGAAAAATCTACACAGACCTCTGATGATGCACTTTCATCTTTAATACCAAAATATAGGTATAATCACTCGTGATAAGATGATAAAGCGAGATAAATGAATTTTTCTGTTCAAAGAGAGATTCTAAATCCCATTTTAATCTAATTTAGCAAATTTTTTTGTGAATTAATTACTACACAAGTCACTAGTGAAAATATAACAGAACGAAACTAATTATTTTAGGATTTGAAGTTTTCAAAAATAGAGTAGTCCCAGTTGGAAATTAATAGTGAAGCCATTTTAAAGTCACCCAATCTAGGAAAACTGATCTGTTCAAGCCAACTGCAATAGAAACATTAAAGGATTGTTAAAGAGATATGTAGTTGTTTGTATACAGGTGGCTACTAGTTATACCCTTCCAGTAAGTTCCCTGCAGTGAAACTAAAACGATCACTTTGGGCATGCATCATAACAGTTTGAATGCTAAGTAAATTATATAAACATAACATTTTTCTCCCCATTTATTTTATTATGAAGAATCACAAGAGTTAGATTTTCTAGGAAAACTTAACATTTTAATCAACGTACGAAAACAAGCTATTTGAAATGTGAAACATACTTTATTTTATTAATGAAGAAAAAGTTTACTTGTTTTATCCCCTCCTTGATCCACATAAATGTTTACGCTTTATCAGTATGATTTAAGATACTGGACCATAGGGAGTATGGGATATTTATGACGATAACCGGCGAGCATTCAACAGCAGCCGAAAAGTACGCTGCCGTCAACTTACTTCTGTCCAAAACTGATTCTATCAGAGAATAAAAAATTTTTTCGGTTAAGGAAGGTATTCATTAGAATAAAAAAATGATTGATAAGATTATTATTTTCTTAATTTATTTCCTTTAAATAAAGGGATATGGAATAATTTACTTTATAAATAATAAAAATATTTTTTTTCTTCAGTATAATCACTTTATGACTTCGAAAGCCCTACACCTATAAAATAGCTTGTTTCGTTTCCTGCCGAAATTTTGTTTGTTTTGCTTTTTCAATTTTCTCGCATCCGCTCTGATGTTGTAGGCTGCTATATAATTTATTTTAAAACTTGATTAAAATTTTTAAAAAAAGGTATATATGCGCGTGTTAATTCGAAAACATTACAGTGGCTTGTAAGATTTGTTGAGGGCTGTGTTTTGAATTAAGGATATTTCAGGTAAGACAAGTATAAAAATTTTTTAATTCAGGGAACTTAAAATGCTGTTGCTCTCAAATTGCATTTATTAATTATATTATGCTGCATTTTTGTTTTTTTCATTCGCATTTTCATGCATCATATAATTAGGACTAATATTTTTTATGATATCTGTTATTGTTTTATCATTGGTTGTAAGGAAGTTAAATTTTTTTTAAAAAATTGGTGAGCTATTTGCTTCCGCTAATAAGTTTTCGAATTATCGTTCCTTGTTTAAATATCCCCTATGTCATAATTGAAGTTTTTTTTTTTATCTTTAGTGCAAAACATTTACCTATATATACGCATTACTTATTTTATTTAAAAATAAAGCAGTAAAATATTTTTTTCCCGTAATTTTTTGTTTTAAAAATTGGAATAACTTAAATTTCAGCTTCAGATTGAAAATACTTGCTACAGAGATTTTTTAGAATTGAAAGAAATTTCACATTGAAAAAAATGTTTAATATTTGCATGAAAAGAATATTTGCATGTATGTGAAAAACTTTTTTTTACTTTGTTTTAATAATGAACTTACAATTTTTTCATCTAGAAAAGCAATGAAGATAATTTGATTAACATTGAACTATTGCTCCCAAAAAAATTAGTACAAAAATATTACTTTTTCAAAAATATTGACATAGAATGTTGAAATGAAATAAAACATTCAAATAAATTATTAAATTGCAATCTTTATTGGAAAAAAACTTATTGAATTTAGTTTTATATAGTTCAAAAAAGGCAGATTTCAAATATTTAATTCCAAGAAAAATTCATTTAAGAAGAAATCTGAAAACTGAGTTACAGTTAAAACAATATTTAATTTGTTTCTAAATGCTGTTTAAGTTTAAATGATCCAAATTACTTTATGGATTTATGCATGGATGGCGGTAAATTATTGCCAAGTCATTAGCAGCTTTGTCACTTAAAACATGGTGCGTAGCGTTTTTAAAAAGTGCTTAAAAGTGCTTATTTCTGATTTTTGTTTTTTAAAAGCCCTTAAAGCTACTTTGTTCATGGGGTGTTTTTAAAAAGTGCTTAATTTTCCTTTTTCGAAAATGAGATTTTTTTCTTTACCATGTCAATTTTCACCACGTAATATGCAAAAGGGTGGTTTTCACATTGTTCTATTTGGCGCTTTCACAATTAATTCAATCACAGTTTATTTCGGCGTACTGTCGGTCCATAGCGTATGAAAGCACCAATCATTGTACAGATTTAGATGAAATACTTGCGAGTTCGCATGTGAGCTGTGTCCGGTGAGATTATTGCACTCTCATGTGCAACTCTGCTGCATTTTGCAAGTTATTCTCAATTTCAAGCTTCATTTCCCACCCTCTGAAATCGAACCGAAAAATCTCAATCTTTTTATGCTGGCTAATATAATCATGAAAAGAGTTCCTTGCCAAAAACTAGTTATTTTATCATGATCATGTGAAGTCTTTGAAAATTGTTCTGCATTTTGTTAATGTATATGGTGCTTAAAAAGTACTCAAAAGGTGCTTATTTTTTGTTGAAAGATTTGTCTACGCTTCCTGTAAAACAGTCGCTTATTTTTCCATTTTATCACTTAAAAGAAATGGAATTTTCAAAAATCGTGTGGAAAGCCCTTAGCAATATTGTCAAAAAGCAACCAATAAGATCAAATGTGTACATAATAAAATTGTTGTGAATCAAGTGCATCAAAATCAAAATATTTTTTTGTTGTTGAAAGTATTATTTTTTATACTAATCAGAAAATGAAACTAATTTACAAGTATAGAAAGAGACAAAAATGTAAATTAATAATTAAAACATTAAATCAAAATGGAAAAGTACCTAAAGCAGCTAAAACCAAATTTGCTTTATTTTAATTTAGATATTCAAACTAGCAATTAAAGCAGAAAAAAGTAATAAAAAGCAATAAAATAAAAGATATGTGTTCGCAAGACAGCACTTCTTCAGTGGAATGTCCCCTGAAGAAGATTTTAGGAACTATGTGGTGATGTTTAGAAAACTTTGAAATTAAAAACTTAATGCATTTAGCATATTTTAAAATTAAAATTATGTACATAATATGCTCTTTGCATGGTACATAATTTTAGTACAGTTAACATGCATTTTAAAATGTGCTTAAATTTTGCCTTCATGTATATAGTTTTCATTTGTTTATCATATTATATATTTGAAGCACTAAATGGAAACTTAAATGATAATTTTGAACCATTGAATTTTTATTGTTGGCTGAATACTAATGATATTAAAATTTAAGTGTAGTTTAGAGATGCGCTATACTAAGTGACAATTTTTCATTTATTTATTACCAAATCTTGCAGTGTATAAGTCTACATTTGAAAACCCCAAAATTTTACAAAAATCGACTTATACACCAGTAATAAAGTCAGGTGTTCACGGATCGTAAAATATCAATGCATTATCTATACATAATAATAAAAGCGGCTGTGTGTGTGTGTGTGTGTCTGTAATCACAATATATCGCCCCAGAAGCCTCGCCCAGGCACGAAACTCGGCACATAATTGTGTTTTGACATAATGAAGAAGTATTTTTTTTCTTTTTCAAAAATTTGGATTAGTTTCTTAGTTATCAGTCATTTTGTAAGAAAATCTATGCTTTTTCGTCTTCAAAGAGCCATATTNCTGTCGGTCCATAGGGTATGAAAGCACCAATCATTTTTCAAGTTTGATGAAATACTTGCGAGTCCGCATGTGACCTGGGTTCGGTGAGATTATTGCACTCTCATGTGCAACTCTACTGCATTTTGCAAAATATTCGCAATTTCAAGCTTCTATTTCCACCCTCTGAAATCGAACCGAAAAATCTCGATCTTTCTATGGTGGCTAATATAATCACAAAAGAGTTCCTTGTCAAACACTAGTTAATTTATCATGATCATGTCAAGTCTTCGAAAATTATTCTGCATTTTGTTAATGTATATGATGCTTAAAAATATATTTTGAGTGCTTAAAAAGTACTTAAAAGGTGCTTATTTTTTGTTGATAGATTTGGCTATGCATCGTGTAAAATAATCACTTATTTTTCCATTTTATCACTTAAAAGAAATGGAATTTTCAAAAATCGTGTGGAAAACCCTTAGCAATATTGTCAAAAAGCAACAAATAAGATCAAATGTATATACAATAGAATTGTTGTGAATCAAGTGCATCAAAAAAAATTTTTTTTGAAATTATAATTATTTTTTATACTAATCAGAAAATGAAACTAATTTACAAATATAGAAAAAGACAAAAATGTAAATTAATAATTGAAACATTAAATCAAAATGGAAAAGTGCCTAAAGCAGCTAAAACCAAATTTGCTTTATTTTAATTTAGATATTCAAACAAGCAATTAAAGCAGGAAAAAGTAATAAAAAGCAATAAAATGAAAGATATGTGTGTTGGCAAGACAGCACTTCTTCATGGGAATGTCCCTTGAAGAAAATTTTAAGAACAATGTGGTAATGTTTAGAAAACTTTGAAATTAAAAACTTAATGCATTTAGCATATTTTGAAATTAAAATTATCTACATACTAAGCTCTTTGCATAGTACATAATTTTATTACAGCTAACATGCATTTTAAAATGTGCTTAAATTTTACCTTCATGTATATATTTTTCATTTGTTTAGCACTAAATGGAAACTTAAATGATCATTTTGAACCATTGATTTTTTATTCTTGGCTGAATACTAATAATATTAGAATTTAAGTGTAGTTTAGAAATGCGCTATAATAAGTGACAGTTTTTCATTTATTTATTACCAAATTTTGCAGTGTATAAGTCTACATTTGAAACCCCCAAAATTTTACGAAAATTGACTTATACACCAGTAATAGAGTCAGGTGTTCACGGATCGTAAGATATCAATGCATTATAAACAATAAGAGAGATATGAATAACTTTGTATCAATTTACCCTATTCAATTTTTATTTTTTTAATATGTTATATCAGAGATGGTGTTTTTTCAAAGGGTGTTTTTTCAAAAACAAGGGCACCTTCAGTTGTGAAGAACACTAATCTTGCTAAATATATTAATTATATCTAGCTACATTAAGGCCCTTCAAACTAGAATTCAAAATACTCAAATAAATATGGTAAACAATAGTATTTTATATTNTAACTTTGTATCAATTTACCATGTTCAAATTTTTTTTTTAATATGTTATATCAGAGATGGTGTTTTTTCAAAAACAAGGGCACCTTCAGTTGTGAAGAACACTAATCTTGCTAAATATATTAATTATATCTAGCTACATTAAGGCCCTTCAAACCAGAATTCAAAATACTCAAATAAATATGGTAAACAATAGTATTTTATATTGACCTAGATCCTAAAAATTATTTCCATTAGTTATGGTAATTTGAAGTCTGGTTTCTACTACTGCTATCTCTTTTCTTAAAATAAAAAAATAGAATTTTTTTTTCCAAACAAAAAAGTGGACAGCATTTTTATAAAACGGACAAAGAGGGCACATTTGCCTCTGTAAAAGGGCAGGCAGGGTATGCCACATTTCTAAAAACACTTACGGCAAGCACTGAT